ATCTGTTCATCGTGTTTCTAAAATACAAAACAAAACAGTTGTTAGTAATATTCTTTGTAAATCTTCTTTGTGAATATCATAATAATAAAATACCTTAAGATTGAAATTTTAAAAAAGGAATATCTCATCTGAAGTTATACTGTAAGGCTCGTCATTACACATTACTGGTGAAATCACAACTCATATATAAGGAAAATGTTCACTATAAACCTTTTTAAGATTCTTGATGATGTCCTCATGGGACAGCTCCTCCTCTTTCAGAGTGACTTTGAGGGCTCTCTTGTCTTTCCTCAGCTTCTTCTCCTCATCCCTGTGGTCCTCCTGAGCCAGTTTTAGAGCACACACATTGTCTGCCTTCAAGTCCGATATGTTGTTTTGGTGTTCAAACAGCAAATGCTTCACTTTTTGTTTGTAAACCTGAAAAAATTAAAATTGGATAATAAATTATTAATACCTTTAAAATCCAAGTTAACTTTGAAAGTTAATTGTGTATTTTAGCATATGATTTTAATAACATTGTATCTGTTTTAATATTACCTTAATTTCTACTTGATGCCTTTCCTCAGCATCTTCCATTTCCCTATCTTTGTTCCTGATTTCTGCCTTTCTTTCTTCTAGCTGTCTCTTTGTGATTTCCCAGAATGTGTTCACTTTGTCTCTCTCTAACTGGAAGTAGTTTCTCTCTTCCCTTTCACGATCCAGTTCTTCTCTTAAGCGTACAACATGTTCTTCCAGCTACGCAAAGAAGAATATAAATTTCATCCACCTATGTTATAATAACATCCAAAATACTAATTACCATCCATGACATTAATTCATACTAAAGATGGAAGTTCAACAATGAGCAAAGTTTCCCGAAAATTTTTAATCTGACACTGATAAAAAAAACCCCCAAAAATCTCACAGGCAATAGCAATAGGAAATACAAATGAGGAAGGGGATTTTTAATTTCTGTTCAATCCACGAGTGGAAAATTGCATGGATTTCTTGGATTGTCAATATATGTCCTTCATGAATTTTAAGTACCCTGTATTTCAAATAAACAATGGACAAATAATATATTTGATAGATGATATTGGTAGAGTACAGAGCTCCAGATAATTTTTCACCCCAAAGTGTATTTACTTCCTAATTTTCAAATCAATGCAGATTTTGATTATCGGCAAAATGATTTAAAAGTATTTTGTTAATATATGATGTGTTGACATCTATTTTGATTTTCAGCTTGTTATCGAAATATAAGTGTTTTAGAAGAGGAAAGGGAAAAAAAACTACATAGGACAGTTCCTGCATTCATTTAAATAAATTTTGAAAATACCAATTAGACTTTTTGCCAGAACAGAGAAATGTTCTTTTTTGACAAGGAAGATCATACAGTAGGTAAAGTTACCATAGGCACATAAAACTTTTCCTTCATTTAAGATGATATCGTAACAAGAGTAAACTGAGAGTAAACCGAAAGAAAAAAAATCTTCATTAAATATGGCAAGTTGAGAGAAATCAGATGAACCCATCATAAAAAATGTTATGTACAAACTGTGTGTAACCGTCCTACTAAACAGAGAACTCTAGAGAATCTAAGAGAACTCTTGATCGGTAAATTCAAATACATGTTATGGGTAATGCCTCTCTACAGCAATTTATTTATTTAATTGGTCTTGAAATTAAACAGAGCTCGTTTTTTCGATATGGTTTTAATATGGTCTTTAGTGTTTTTTTTTTCTTACACATCATGTCCTCTTTGATAACATTGCAGTATAAACTTTTTGCTCCAGCTAAGACTTTTTTCCTCCAACTATCGTTTGTTTTCTAGGTAACATTGTTTTCTTTACTTATGTATTACAATATCATCTTACATAGATGACACAAGCATTTGTGCTTAAAAATACATGTAACTATGCTTAGTACATAGTCTTTCTATTTAAAGAAATCAATTTTAATCTATTATAATATCTTTGATTCTTTCTCCATAAATGGAAATTGTCCTCGCCATTACTTTAATATTCCTGGTTAATAAAACGCTTTTAAATCAGTCTTACGTTTTGAGAAAAATCAAACACTGAGTTAACCTCAATTCAAACCGTTAGCTAAGTCGTACTTTTATTATACAACCCATCGTACGCAGTACTTTCGTGGTGTAATGCTTATCTATGATTGCTAATGCATAACTGTATGCCCATTTTGAATTTTCGATGCGTATTTTGTAAAATTCAATGCGTATTTCTGCAAATATGCACCTAATCTGGAGCTCTGGAGTATTTGTTAAGTGTGCAAAACTTCACCTGTTCTTTGGTCATCTCCTCTGTGGGGATGCCATCAATGACAGTGGGAGTTTTTGCCTTCCCAGACTTTTTCCCCTTTTTTCCCTTCTTCCCACTTTTCTTCTTTGGAGGCTGGAAAAGAAATTTACATTAAAGAAACAGCAATTTGGAATAAATCAAAGCGTTATTTTACAAGTACTTGTAGCATATATTGGGCGACAATTCATTTGTTTTAGTGAGTTGGTGATTGGAAATTTGTTCAGTAAATCAATACCTAGGTAGTACAAAAAATACATAGTTTCTAAAGCTTTTGTTTATTAGAATACAAGGAAGGTTACCAAATAAAGAAACTTAGCTGAAAAGCTACAAATGATGAAAAATGCAGTTAAAAACCGTTCATAGGTGTAATGTTCTTTCACTTAAATGATAATTGTCTTAACGCCCTGGTTTATGAAAGAATTTCATCTGTGTGTTGGCATTTGAAGCAAAATAAACATGGCCATGCAGGAAAATTTAATCTACTTGTATAATACTATTGCCAATTCAGAAAGTTCTGAATTTAAAATAGCTGACAAATTTGATGCAAGTGAAAAATGCTTAGAAAATGTGTTGTATTGTTCTTAAATATGATTTTTTTTGTGGAAGGTATTTACAAACACAAAAAGGTTGGTTATATTTGATTTCTTCAAAATTGTGAAGGAGCCAATCCATTTCCTTTTGCTACATCAGAGTTCTTGAAAAATTTCACTAACAAGCAGGACAAAAAGTCTGTTTTGGAGAAAAAAATTTCAGGACCCATACATTTCCTGCAGGACCCACAAAAATAGGCCTTGCAATACATAGTATCGCCATTACCTTGTGGTTATCTTACTGTCGCTCTTTTGCGATAGTCAGGAAAGCTTTAAATCTCACTTCATTTTATTTAAAATTTAAAAGAGTTATCTAACTTACTACCCCTTTTTTGCGATAATTCAAGAAAGCTCTAAAACTCCCATCATTTTTGGGGCATAATATATTATTCATGCTAGTGACAACTGAATGATTTCAACAATGAGTATGCCGAAAGCTCAATGTATTCACTACAGAGAGAAAGTAATCTTATTTGGAATCTTTAGACTTCCAGAGGTAATGTTTTTCAGATAGAGATGGTTGAATTTATTATTAGAAGAGTCGGTTTAGCAGAAAATATCTACAAAAATGTAATTCAAGACAACTAGCATATTCTAAATTTTATCAGTGAGATGCACCAAACATTTAGCAAGATATTTCACCAGGACCTCTTTCTTATATGTCCTTTAAAAATCTACAGTGATTGATCTCGTAGCATATTCAACAGCACATTACCCCCAGATAATTGACATTTCCTACCTCCACCACAAAAGAGTTCTGTTAAGTTAAGTAACCACCATATCAGGTATTGATGAACAACTTGAACAAATTGTTTAATGACAATTTAACTTTTTGTTTTATTATCATTATTCCCTTTGCCAATACTTTCTAAAGGAATGCTCGATCTCTTCCTTCCGAGTTCTGATCAGCACGTATCTTACCCACAATTAATGACGCTTTTATCACTTTTCCTTTTATCAGGTATGAACCATTTATGAGGCCAAATTTTTATTTTATGATGTGTGTGTTATTATAAACTAAAACAGAATACATCACGGCAGAATCATGATTCTTGGAATATATTGAAGACATCGATAATTCTTTATCAGTCTCTAGGACTGGCAACCATAACATTTTTGGCGGTCCTTACAAAAAAATCTCCAATAGGACCAAAGGTCTGACATTTTTCAAGAACTCTGCTACATTGCAACTATATTGGACATGTTTCAACTGTGATGAGGACTTGTCAAAAGACACAGATCACTCTAACTATGGAGTTCCTAACACTCTAAAATAAACTAATCCAAACTGATAGTAGGGCAATATTACAAAACTGTAGTGCAAAATTTAGAGTGAAATGTGATGGTGACATGTTTTTTTCATCAATTACTTAAGATGCATTGAACAGGTGGTCAAAGGGTCAAAAGGAAAAAAAAAAATGAATACAAAACTATTGTTTCAGCAAATATACAGTGTACAATGTATTGTATAGATCTAGTAAAAACTGAACTTCTTTGCACTTGATTTTATAAAATGTAACTTCAGAAATTGAATGAGTGGACATAATTTATTCATTTACAAATGATACAGCAAAAAATGACATACAAATGATACAAATTAACAAAACAATTCATGTAATATCCTTACCATGTTTGCTGAGACTGCACTAAACAACAAATATGGCTTCTTATGTTGTCCAGGCAACAGTGCCCGGATGACAATAAGGATCGCTTAAATCATAAACCCCAAAAAATCTTATGCAAGTAAAGAAATGCAAAACATCAGAAGGCAAATTATTTTATATCCAAAACTGAGGGAAAACAAATAATAACAAACAAAAAACATACATTTTCATTGAAAATGATAATATTCTCAATGATATAAGTAAAATCTAAATCTAAAACCATATCAATCATTGTATCCGGATTAATTTCAAATGAATTTTGATGCATTTAGAACGTTAATTTAATTTAATAGAATATTTTGTAATTTAATGAAAAGAAATAATGAGATTATAAATTATATTTTTGTAAAATTTTTATATTATCTACAGGATCGAGATTTTGAACATAACAGTAAATTCCGGGATTGTTAGATTTCGTTTCTGCGTTTAGATTGTGTTGTTAAAGTGAAAGTCAAAGGTTGGTGATCAGTTGCCTAAAAATAGGTCTGTAGATTGTTTAATTGTTTTTATCTATACTGTATATTAATTCAATAATTAAATAATGATGAAGACTTTGATATAGTGGTAAATTTCAGTTCGAGAATAAAACCCCATTTGATTTCAGATTTTTTTTTACCATATCTAACCACCATCACAGTTAAGGATGTTTTTAAGTTGCATTGGACTATATATAAACATGATAACACAGGTTTGGTCATGAAACTAATTATCACTGTGAAGGACACTATTTCAGGCTGGTTTTAAGTTGATTTTTTTTTTAGCAACTGTTGTTCACCTGGCATTAACTAATTTAGAAAGGTTTTTAGCTCACCTGAGCCGAAGGCTCAAGTGAGCTTTTCTGATCATATTTTGTCTGTAGTCCGTCTGTAAACTTTTCACATTTTCGACTTCTTCTCAAGAACTACTGGGCCAATTTCAACCAAACTTGCCACAAAGTATCCTTGGGTGAAGGGGATTCAAGTTTGTTCAAATGAAGGGCCACGCCCTCTTTCAAGGGGAGATAATAAAGAATTAGTGAAAAATTAATAGCATCTCTTAAAAATCTTCTTCTCAAGAATCACAAAGCCAGGGAAGATGAAACTCAGGTGGAAGCATCTTCATGTAGTGTAGATTCAAGTTTGTTCAAATCATGACCCCCGGGGGTAGGGCGGGGCCACAGTGGAGGATCAAAGTTTTACATAGAAATACATAGGAAAAATCTTTAAAAATCTTCTCAATAACAGCAAAGCCCTAATTGATCATATTTATATGAAAGCATCCTCAGGTAGTGTAGATTCAAGTTTGTTCAAATCCTGACCCCCCAGGGGTACGGCAGGGCCACAATGGAGGATCAGAGTTTTACATAGAAATATATAGGAAAAATCTTTAAAAATCTTCTTCTCAGGAACAGCAAAGCCCTGATTGATCATATTTATGTGGAAGTATCCTCAGGTAGTGCAATCTAATTAAAATTAGATGTTCGGAATCTGCTATTGCTTCTCAAACATCTAACAACATCTGTTAGATGTTTGAGAAGCGATAGCGGATTCGGAACATCTAATTTTAATTAGATTGCAGGTAGTGTAGATTCAAGTTTGTTCAAATCATGAACCCCTAGGGTAGGGTGGGGCCACAATGGAGGATCAAAGTCTGAAATAGAAATATATAGGAAGATATCTTCTCGGAAGCATCCTCAGGTAGTATAGATTCAAGTTTGTTAAAATGATGACCCCAGGGGATAGGGATGGGCCATAATGGGGGATCAAAAATTTTACATAGGAACATATAGGAAAATATCTTCTCAAGAACTGAAAATCATGTTTAGTCATTTTGATATGGAAGCATCCTCAGGTACATCTTTGCTAGCCAAGGGTTTCTGATATGCTACTCTCCTCATAAGCCCTTGGCATACGGTGTTAAAAAAAGTTGGGATTTTTTTCTCAAGTTGTGATTGGAGTTGATCAACATCGTTCGACCAATCAGAAATTGTTTTTTGTAAATGACGATATTTGCGTTCGGGATATATCTTGCCTCTTTAATATCGGGAATGAAAAACGCAAGTAAACAACGATCTGTAAGATAACATGCCATTCTATGAATAGCTATCTGGTGTCATCCAATATCTTAAGCTACGTGCAAAATTAAGAATCTATACTGAAGATGTAGATTTGCATTTTAACATGTTTAAATAACAAATTAACATAACTCAATACCTTCTTGTTAATTATTCTTTAAAAACATTATGTTTTAAATACGCTTTTTATTTCTGTCGATGACGCAATCTGTGCGAACCTGGTAAGAATCGTGATCAAGTGACGAAAACAATCCCGTCTTTTGTCAGCACCTAATGCCAAGGGTTTATGAAGAGAGTAGCGTATCAGAAACCTTTTACTAGCGAAGCATCCTCAGGTAGTGTAGATTCAAGTTTGTTCAAATGATGACCCCTGGGATAGGGAGGAGCCACAATGGGGGATCAAATTTTTACAAAGGAATATATGGGAAATTTTTTTAAAAAATCTTCTCAAGTACAACAAAGCCATTTGTTATATTGACATGGAAGCATCATCAGCTAGTTTAAAATTCAAGCCCCCCCCCCCCCCCCCCCCCCCCCCCCCCCCCCCCCCCGTAATCTTTTCAATACTGAACTGATTTGTGCTTTTGCCTTGCCAATGTGCTCAGGTGAGCGATGTGGCCCATGGGCCTCTTGTTACAACATCTGATAGGAAATTTCTGATGCACACATTCCTCTCAAGAAAGAATTGTGATAGTTGCTTTTTATCGACTAAATCAGAAATAATATATTTCAAAGTTTGGGTTATAAAAATACTGACAGTTTACTTTTTGATTTATTCTCTTGGTATTTTGACCAATATGCAATTTCTGTGCATTATAGAAAACTTCAAATATCAAGACAGCGCTTAATTATTGTGTTATTAAAAAAGCTGCACTTATATGCTACAGCTAAAGGATGGGTGTCTGTCCTATATGCTTTGATGGACTCAAATCCCCAGTTTGCTGTGTGCCTTGTGGACATGTGTTCTGTAATGTGTGTATCCACAGATGGAGGACCACAACTCCCCGTTCCATGGGAAATATTCTCTTAAATTATCATGAAAACAGAAGCTGTCCACAGTGCCGCTCCGAAATCCATGCCTTGCAAAGAGTCCGATTTGATGATCAGGATGTTCAAGGTACAATGTTAATACTTGAATTAATTACTCTTCCTTATAATTAAGATTCTATATTATCTGTATCAGGAATATAGTGAAAAGTTTCGATGGGATTTGTAAAAAGTTCCTTATAACAGAAATTTTATTATAATTAAGTTCTTTATAACCAAGTATAACCAATATACCATTGTTTTTGAACATTTGATGTCTGATTCCAGAGAGTGAAGAAGCAGAGGAAAATCCTTGGGAAGCCACAGATGATTACACAACAATTCTAAAATCTGCTTATAGTATCTGGTCAAGAAGTGAACTTCGCAAAGCTTGTGTTACTGCACAGAGTATGTAAACAACAAATATCTCAAATTTAGTCATTATATGCACATAATTTTATTAATTATTTCAATCAAAAAAAAAAATTACATAATACATGTATCTGGTATAACAATGTATAACGAGGTAGAATAGTCATAAGGTGCAAGAGGTTAAAGTTATCTGGTTTAGATGTGAGTAGAATTAAGAGACCATGCATTCTGGGCATAGAACAGGTTGACTTGATGTATTACTAGGTATTGTCAGATATATAAGAAAAAAGGTCTAATATAAAGCAGTATTATCTCTAAATAAATGTCTCATTGCAGGTAAAATATTTTCCATATCATGGGTCCAGAGAAGTTGGGATATTGGAAAAACATGTGTTACTAATTTAGGAAATATTGTGTCAGAGTTCAGGCATGTTGAAGGTAATACAGAGATAGCTTCTTTTAATCCTTTCCTTTTTAGAAAACTAGTATATATTATAATTTGATTATGGTAATGGATAACTGATGTACGTGTACATAAAAAAATGTCTTAATGTTCATAAAATTATGATTTTATTCCATAAATATTAATTTAATCTCTCCTTTAAGGTGGGCCAGAAGTACAGATAGAGTGGTTAAAGAATCGGGCCAAACAAGGTTATATTACACTTCAGAACAAAATAGTTAGCCATCCTAAAGTTGGTAAGTTTTACCATTTGGCTTTAGTACCATATACATGTATATTAGGATTCTTTTCAATGAATTTCTTTCATGCAGAGGAAACTTAGATATAATGAAGCAGAAAGAAATTATTATGCCAGTATACACTGGTTACTTTTATTTATTTTTGATTTTCGAAGAAATACTTTTGGTTATGTCAGAATCTCTAAATATCCAAGGAAAACTACCAGGTTTTAGAAATTCTTATTGAACAAGGATGCTTATTGAATATTGAGTGTATTGCTGTTATGTGTACTACCAGTAGTTTGTACAATTATTTGTCTTTTCTTTTTAGAAAGTTTAAGAACACAGTGGAGCAATTTTAGTGAAGAAAAAAAGAGAGCAGTAATGCTTCTAATTGCCGTGATCTGTGTATTGACCCTGGCAGATGCCCAGAGCCCCGAGGGCTTCCTACAGTCTGTTATACTCCCTGTCTTTGAGGCTGCCTTCGCTGTAATGTTTGAGATCATGTCCATGCTGTCATATTGTCTGACTAGACCTCTGGTCTGCTCTTTCCACTGTTTGATGTCTATAATTTTAATGATTCTAGACATCGTGGTTGCCATCTTACGGACCCCAATTGCTATTTTTGAAATCTTGTTGTGGCTACCCTATACAATGATAATGGGAGTGACATTATTTCTTTCAAATACAGTTGGTACTTTGATGAGAACTGTTTTCCCATTGGCCCTTGTGCTGTATGTATTTTTCCCAGGGGTTCAACAAAGAGTTAGGGAAATATTTGCTGATTTACAACAAAATTAAGATCGAGTGGTTTGCAGTTTTTATATAATTTTGTTTTCAGTGCCAAATAACTGTTGATCCAAACCTTTATTTGTTGAAACTTATGTAGTGATAAAGATGTGTGCAAGCACTGTGAATATACTTTATTTTTATTATGAATGCAGTAAAGATGTATCATTATGTATTTATTTTACACCTCTGACAATAAGGTATGAAAAAAAAACAGATTTTATGAAGATTTTAAGAGCTTCACGGTGCCATAAATCACACAGATATTGAATAAGATAGAAACCGAGAAACACAAAATACTGCAGCATCAAAATTTATATGCACACCTGTGTGATATTTGGCACATGAAGTGCTATAAAGATTTAACTGACATTTACATTCTTATGCTTTACATTTTTATAAAGTGAATATTTTAAATGTTAATATCAGATCATTTGATTATTGAATTGTTCCTAATTTAGATTTTATTCCCCATACAGCAAAAGAAAGTGATTTTTCTTGGTGAAATTTGCCATTTACTAGTATTTGCTTAACACTTTAATTTTATTTTAGTTGTAACAGAATTTAGAGTACATTTATCATGTGTTTATTTGTGATCATCATTTCCTTTTAATTAAACTGTTATTATTTTTTAAATGGAGATCTTCACAACAATTGTATGTCAAGGATGTTCTGAACAAAACTTGAATTTTTTATGTTTGTTTCATTCTTGTTATTATGTATGTTCAAGTCCACGAGGAAGTATTACTGTGTGTAATAATTATTTATACCAGTACTGCATATCGTATTTTGAACCCAGCAGGGTAGAAACTGCTACAACCACTTTCAGTATTACAATTTTCGTGTTTGAAGACAATGCTTGAAGAAATTTGATGTAAAATTATTTTTCCATCAGTCATATTCATGATGCTTCAAATATAATTTGAAACATTTCTGATAGATTCCTCTTGATTATTATGTTAAATTTTAATTCAGCTTAGTTGAATTGTTTATTGTCGTATTGTTTAAAGGACTTGTAAAGGTCCCCTTGATTCATTTAAGCATTAAATTGCAAATTTCGGATGTTTATGGTGTCATAATGCTGACGGCTGTGCTGACAAATTGACTGACACATGTTAAGAAAATTTGTCTGCACAGCCTTCTGTGTTATGGCAAGGTGAACGTCCAAGATTTACAATTCAGTGTAACGTCCAAGATTTACAATTCAGTGTAACGTCCGAGATTTACAATTCAGTGTAACGTCCGAGATTTACAATTCAGTGTAACATCCAAGATTTACAATTCAGTGTAACGTCCGAGATTTACAATTCAGTGTAACATCCAAGATTTACAATTCAGTGTAACATCCAAGATTTACAATTCAGTGTAACATCCAAGATTTACAATTCAGTGCTTATTTTTACATGTATTGATATCATGATGGCGTGATAAAATATCGCTTCTTTGAATATGCTATGCCTAACATGTATAGCTAAATTGAGGGAACAGCCATTACAGTTCAACCATCCTCGCAAGCCAAGAGTCCTGAGTCAACACGTTGCCGTTGGACCCCTGGCATATTTCATTCAATATTTGTGGGCTGACTGTAACGACGTCTTTCGAAAAAATTACAAATCTTGATTGTTTTTCTTATCTCTCAACCAATCACATTAATCCATTCTCTGATAAACAACTTGTAACACGTGCATTTGAGATGTCAACTGAATCTTACCTAACTATTAATGAAAGCTTTAATTTGATTGGTGCTTCTCAATGAGAGAAGCAAGCCCACGAATATTGAATGAAATATGCCAGGGGTCCAACGACAACGTGTTGACTCCGGACCTCTGGCTTGCAAGGGTGCAGTTCAACGTGAGCGTGAATTTTGATTTTCTTCATTTTATGACATTACACGTATGATTTTATAAAAATTAAAAACCATGACTTTTACCTTTCACCCCCCTCCCCCGTTCGTTTTATGAATGCCGAAGCTTTCAAACCATTCTATAAGAAAATACATGTATGTTTGGATTGTAAATATATCTTGTTGAAATAAGACAGCTGAAACAACGTTTTAAAAAAATTAATTTATTTCCGAAGCACCCATCTCTTTACAAAGAATTAAAGATTCAATAGAGTGCTATTGAAAGAAAAACAAACGTATTGAAATGATTTTTTTTCATACTTTGTATGAACATTTAAACAAACTTGAAACTAAGGCAAGACATATTAAAAACGTCAAGGAGAGGTTTATAAGTCGCAATGGTCAACTATCTATCTTGATACTGCTAATAAATATACAATAATTTTTTTTATTGTGACAAAGAAGACCAAATAGACCACTGTTTAAAGAAACCGAAGTATATTTAAATTCTAAAATATTGCATGATATTTAATCAAGTTACAGCATTTGATAAATTGATAATAATATAAAAAAAAAATCAAAAGGGAATTTAACCTGTTATGGTCCTTAGAAATAACACATTTTTTAATGTACAAAATGCCATGAAATAAGTTTGGTGAGTTGTTTAGGGGGAACTTGCAAAATGGACTGAAAAAAGGCTATCTTAATTCTTTAAGAGATCAGGTACCTTAATCAGTTAATTACTTTATGAGTTGTCCGTGTTGACAACTTAACTGGAAATTCTTTGAGAATTAAAAATAAAAAAAAAATGTTCAAAGCTGAAAAACCTATTTTGTGGAATGGGTGGGGGTTGGTTCCAATTTTTTCCACATACAAATTATACTACCAAAAAATGATGATATTCCTGCAACGAAATGTGGGGGAGGGGGGGGCAGGCTTTTTTGATGAACATTTTCAATAGTGAAAGGTTATGTTTGATGAAAAGACCACTCCCTTAATTGATACTTTGTGCCTGATTATCAATCATATATCCTCCCCCCTTTTATCGGAGATACTATAGGTTTACTTATTTATTAGCACGTTGTGGTACTAAGGAAAAAGTTTAGTAACATCTTCTGATCAGATAATTAAGACATGTATTATCACTGGAGTACGAAACATTTGATGAAAATCGATGCATGTAAATGAAAATCCAGGTAAGAAAGTAGAAAATTACAAGAGGCCCATGGGCCTTGAATTGCTCTTCTGATAAACTGTACAACCTATCACTTCTATTTGAAGCCTCGAAGTATCCTGTATATTTACATAAACCCTTGAAATTCCAATTCACACTCTGAGAACCCAAGATGATTCTTAGCCAATTAGTACTTGAGAGTTGGTCATGGTGACCTACTTATCACTTGTCATTCTCTGAGGACCCATCAACTAAGTTTGATGATTCTAAGCCAATTAATACCTAAAATATTTTTTAAAATTATAATCATAAAATTTTATAAGTAGGTCAAAGTGACCTACTTTTCAATTGTTTTACTCCAAGGACCCAAGATGCATCAACTGACAAAGTTTGATGATTCTAAGCCAATTAGTACCTGTAATATTTAATTAAAGCCATAAATTTTCAAAAGTAGGTCACCGTGACCTACTTTTCAGTTGCTGTACTCCAAGGACCAAAGATACATCGACTGACAAAGTTTGATGATTCTAGCCAATAAGTACCCAAAATATTTAATTACAGCCATAAATTTTCAAAAGTAGGTCACAGTGACCTACTTTTCAGTCAACCTACTCCGAGGACCAAAGATGCATCAACTGACAAATTTTGACGATTCTAAGCCAAATAATTCCTGAAAATATTAAATACAGCCATAAAATTTCAAAAGTAGGTCACCGTGACCTACTTTTCAGTTGTTGTACTCCGAGGACCCAAGACGCATCAACTGACAAAGTTTAATGATTCTAAGCCAATTAGTACCCGAAATATTTGATTAAAGCCATAAATTTTCAAAAGTAGGTCACCGTGACCTACTTTTCAGTTGTTGTACTCCGAGGACCCATGACGCATAAACTGACAAAGTTTTATGATTCTAAGCCAATTAGTACCCGAAATATTTTATTAAAGCCATAAATTTTCAGAAAGTAGGTCACGGTGACCTACTTTTTAGTCGACCTACTCCGAAGACCCATGACGCATCAACTGACAAAGTTCGATGATTCTAAGCCAATTAGTACCCGAAATATTTAATTAAAGCCATAAATTTTCAAAAGTAGGTCACGGTGACCTACTTTTTAGTCGATCTACTCTGAAGACCCAAGATGCATCAACTGACAAAGTTTGATGATTCTAAGCCAATTAGTACCCGAAATATTTAATTAACGCCATAAATTTTCAAAAGTAGGTCACTGTGACCTACTTTTTAGTCGACCTACTGCGAAGACCCAAGATGCATCAACTGACAAAGTTTGATGATTCTAAGCCAATTAGTACCTGAAATATTTAATTATAGTCATATAAATTGAAAAGTAGGTCACGGTGACCTACTTTTCAGTTGACCTTTTTTGAGGACCCAAGATGCATCAACTTACAAAGTTTTATGATCATAGGACTTAAAATGTCCAAATTATGCCTCTAAAACGCTTTGAAATCGAATGCCTGCAAAGTTCAAAAAGTAGGTCACTGTGACCTACTTTTTAATAAATATGTTTTATGGCCCCAAGAGGCATCATCTTACAAGATTTAATGATTCTAAGCCTCCCCGTATTCGAATTAATGACCTTAATTGTTTTAAAAAAGATTAGCCATAAAATTCGAAAAGTAGGTCAAGGTGACCTATTTTTTAAGTGACGTACTTTGACGACCCAAGATGCATCAACTGACAAAGTTTGATGATCATAGGCCTTAAATTGTTCAAAATATGCCTCTAAATCATTATGAAAAAGAATGGCCGCAAAATTTGAAAAGTAGGTCACCGTGACCTACTTTTGAGTCAACATGATATGAGGTCCTTAGATGCACCAACTGACAAGATTTGATGATCCTAGTCCTTATAGTAAGCAAAATATCAACATTTTAATAAAATGTAATTTTTGGTCAACTTTGAAGTGACCTTGAGACCACGCCCTTTGCCCCAGGGTAAATCCCCGTGCAAATTTTAATCTACAACATATCCTCATCCTTTTGTGTAAGTTTGGTGATAATCTGCCCACTGGTTCTTGAGAAGAAGATTTTTTAGCAACCAGTACTTTTGTTTCTATTTTCCTAATTATCTCCCCTTGTTAAAGGGTCACAACCCCAGTTTTAGTATAAAAGGGAGCCCTTGGGCCAAGGATACCCTGTGACAAATTTGACAATAATTGGCCTAGGGGTTCTTGAGTTATGGCCCATATTCTAAAAAGTTTACGCACACCGCACACCGCACAAATGGCCATAGCATTAGCTCTTTGAGCCTTTGGCTCAGAAGAGCTAAAAAAGGAAAGTCTACCTCTATATTTATAGGACTGATTTTAATTCTGTTAGTTTGATGCCATCTGATGGCGATTGATTGCTCTAACTTTGAATGGCTTTGGATGTAGCACAAGTCCGAGAACATAAGATCGAGGATCAGCTTCTGGTAGCTGCTCGGAAATATCTGGCTCAAAAGTAAAATGCTGAAGGAGCATTATCACAAACAAATACAGCCGGTTCCTTGCGAAAGCCTCCCCTAAACAAACTCTTCTGCCAGCACCAAACACGAACAACCTCAAAGTAAGAAACATTTAAATATAATTTAAACAATATTTATTTTGCTGATGGAAAGGATTACATTGACAGATGAAAATAAAACAAAAAGGTAAACAAAAGATTGAACAAAAACAACAGTTTAATCTTCCAGTGGCGGTATATATCTTTGTAGTTCAACATTAATAAAACATCTTTCATCTGCATAGAATAAACACTCTTTTATCTAATTATATTATGTACAATTGCATTTGGTACAAAAGGTATGTCCACTTATCAAAGATGGATTCGTAAAAATGTACTGATTTACTTATTTTTAGTCCCCATCCTCATTTTTATCAATTTTTACAGTCTTGTACAATGACTAGGCCTATTTCGCAATATATACACATATGAATATAGTACACTAAATATGAAATCCATTAATGTCCAAGTTATTGTATGGCAGTCATAAAATTCTCAAATTATGACCTTTGACTAAGAGACAAAATCTAGTCTTCCTCCAATAATTTTTCACCTATGTACTTAGTAAGAAATCTGTGAAAAAGTATACAATTCACTTATCGCCTCGTATAAATCATTGTAAATGTTCAGGCCCCATAGTACGCCGGGGGGGAGGGGGGGGCAACTTTTCTGAGAATAGTTTTGTTGATGTAGTGTTACTATGTAACTTTTCATTTGGAAGCTGTTTGCCCCCACCCCCCCTTCCCATTATTTGTTGCTGTACAGTCGAACACTGGCAAATTCCAGCATTTGAAAAAAAATGTACCAAAAAGTTAGAGAAAGCCCTCCCTTCTGCGGAAATAAGGTTTTCGAGTTTTGGCTCGTAGGATTTTTTTTGGAGGTTGCCACTCCCCTAATTTTCAAAAACGTTGCTACGGGACTGAATTTTTAATGATAAGCTTAACTAGTTCGAAATTACGTTTTTGACAAAGTGACGCCACCCCCCTCCCAATATATATATCATAGGTGTTTTCTTTTAACTATCTCAGTGAAGTCTGTTGGTGGAAAGGTATACATAAACTTTTATATTTTTACAGAGCATTAATTTTTTTTAAATATTCTGTCAAACAAAAAATTAACAAGAGAGTAAACAATAAATATTTTCTTTGAAAGGGGGCCCATGGGGGACAGTCACCGGGGTATCATGATTTGTCTCAGCCAGGTCAATTCTGCCCCACTTACTGGTAAAGGACTCCTACTATTGGTCTCTTGTACACGTTTTGCTAACGTAACCCAGAATTAACAATTGTCAGATCGTGCGATCATGTAAATTGGACTCAACGTTTATTTGTAAGATCCACCTTCCTCCACTGGTAACCGATTCATTTTCTTGAAAAAAAATTTAATGTGCACTTTCATTCCAGAGATTTAATAAAACGGTAATCAGCCTATATCTCATCATATTATTATACAACCACACCATCATCAGTTGTGCTCTCTATACGAAAATGTAAAAAATACTAACCTTTTGCGATTGGGATGCTGTGGACTTTGGATTCTACCATTGTCGTCTAGGAAACGAGGAGGGTCAAACTTCCATGGATTTGGCCAGATGTTTTCGTCATGGTGTAGTGCCCATAAATTTATATACACCTAAATTTAATTTAAATGTGATTTCTCCTTACTTTTAAACAAAATAATTCATATAAAATTTTATTTCTCCTTAGCTTATAAACAAAATGGACATCAAGAATTTCAGCACCCCCCTTTCCGATCCAGCACGCCTCGGTCGATTCGTACCTCATCTAATTTGATGAAGGCGACGCAGTCATTCGAGGTTTGCCGAATACCCTTTTACATGAATAGAAGAAAGGTAAAAATTGATGAACCAATAAATAAATCACCGTGGAATTTGCGTCTATATCATATCCGCATAATTTAGTATTTTCTGTCGTGGAATGAGGGACAGCAAGTGGAACATGTGAGATGAAGCGTAGGAGTTCTAAGATGACGGCCTCGGTTAAAGGCAGTTGTTGTCGACCGGAAAGCGATGGAAAAGCGCCGTCAGGAAAAACTAGATCGATTTCTTCCTGCATCTTCTTCTGGACGTCTTGATTGTGTAATAAAACCAGAACTAAACAGGTCAGGGCGGTGGCTGTAGTGTCCACCCCTAAAAATGAAATTTAATGCGGGTTTTTAACATAACCAAGACATTAATATACAGGGTTCGACAGAAATCAAACAAGAAGTACATACACTGAATTTATTTATCACAAACGTATTTGGAAAACAACTATATAAAATATAAACACATAATTACAAGTATATAAAATAAACAAGATGTGTTTGTGAAACACTGATGCCCGTGTATGGAAGTTTCTCAAATTCAAGTCAAACTCCATGCAGGTCAAGAGATCAAAAATGTTGGTACCCAAAGAAAGGTCTTGTCTTGAGGAATATACCTGTGAAATATGAAAGCCCTAGCACCTACCGTTGAAAAGTTAGGTTAAACTCCAAGGTCAAGGCCAAATACAAAATTGTTGGTATCCAAAGGAAGGTATTGTCACAAGGAATATACGTGTGAAGTATGAAAGCCCTAGCACCAACTGTTCAAAAGTTATGGCCAAGGTTAAAGTTTTTCAAACGTAGGTCAAACTCCAAGGTCAAGGTCAAAAGGTCAAATTTGTTGGTATCCAAAAGAAAGTGTTGTCACAAGAAATGCATATGTGAAGTATGAATGCCCTAGCACCAACTTTTTAAAAGTTATGGCCAAGGTTAAAGATTTTCAAAAGTAGGTCAAACTCCACGGTCAAGGTCAAAGGTATTGGTATTCAAGGAAGGTCTTGTCACAAGGAATACACATGTGAAGTATGAAAACTCTAGCGATAATTGTTCAAAAGTTATGGCCAAGGTTAAAGTTTTTCAAAATTAAAGTAGATCAAAGTCCAAGGTCAAGGTCAAAAGGTCAAAATTGTTTGTATTCAAAGCAAGGTCTTGTCAAAAGGAATACACATATGAAGTATGAAAGCCCTAGCACCCACTGTTCAAAAGTTATGGCCAAGGTTATAGTTTTTTCAACAGTAGGTCAAAATCAAGGTCAAAGGGTCAAAGTTGTTGGTATCCAAAGAAAGGTCTTGTCACAAGAAATACACATGTGAAGGTTGAAAGCCCAAGCACCAACTGTTTAAAAATTATGGCTAAGGTTAAAATCTCATAAAATTTTACAAAAGTGGGTCAAACTCCAAGGTCAAGGTCAAAAGGTCAAATATGATGGTACCTAAGGAAAGATCTTGTCTCAAGGAATATACATGTAAAATATGAAAGCCATAACCCCAACCAATCAAAAGTTATGGGCAAGGTTAAAGTTTTTGCGGACAAACAGACAGACAGACGGACGGACAGGGCAAAAACTACATGCCCCCGAATCTTCGACTACGGGGGCATAAAAATAAAACAATGGATCCCTTGGATATAATTCAGATACTCCTTTCTAATCGATACTTCCGCCGAAATATGGCTGAAGTATTGCCGACTCGGCGTTAAACAATATCAAGCAATCAATAAATCTAATCGATACTATGTACAATTTTAAAGAAAATATACTTCATACCCGCTAATACTAGATTGGTAAAACACTCTTTAATGGTATCATTATCGATGTCGGAATGGTCTTTCTTCAGACGCTGCAAGTGGCCCACAACACTCTCTTCTACAAACTGTTTTAAAATTGCAGAAATTGAATAAATAAAGAAAGCGGAACTTATATATTTTACAAGATTCAAATTACATAATTTGACATCAGGCAATGAAATTGGCAGTACGAATCAGCACAGACGGCTACAGTGGGCTAGATAGACTGAAAACTTGCTAACTTCAATATCTGATTTGATTAAAACGGAAGGAAAATTACGTTAACTGCATATTGTTTTGCGGTCAAACAATATTCTTCGGAATAGATGCGCATGCAACAAATACATACCGTTCCATTTTGTTCTATGAGAGACTTCCATAACCGATCTCTAATGTTCAGAGCTTGTTCCAAACGCCTTGTCTCTTTATTCTGTCCGAACCTTAACCAGGGAATTATGTCCAAACGCTTCCCATCTCCTGATCCATATGTTTCGTTAAATAATTTGCTCATTTCTCGGATCGTTTCAATTTCTGGTCCCTTATACTCAAAGCGTTGTCTTATAAGCTACAATAGAATTAATACAAAGAAAAGGAAAAACAGGAAAAAAAGAGACTTAAACATTGAATTTTTACTTAAGAGGGCTGGGTGGTTGTGGCCATTTTCAGACTATATTGATCTCCTTTAGAAGAAGAGCTCCATATAAAGATATACAAAAATGATCAAATTTTAAAGCTAAAATGTATGAAATTTTTGTTTGCCAAATGATAGTTGACAGCTTAAGATATCATATCTAAAAAATTAAGTTATATCTGATGGTTAATTTGTTGACCCCCCAGCCTCCTTAATAAGGATATTTCGTAATAACGTGTCTTATTTTTTTGTTGGGAAGTTTCTAAGAAGAAGATATTCATCCCCAAAACTTAGTTTCTACATATCAAAAAGCCTTCCCTTTATATTTCTATGTAAAGATTTGGACCCATTTTGTGGACCCATTCATGTTTCGGTGGCCATAAATTACACCATTTCGAATAAATTTTATACAGTAATGCTTGCAAATAAATTCTTTGGTCAATACAATGACCTTGTTAACAAATCCAATCTTGCCGGGCCATTATTTTTACACTGAATTGTCTACAGATTTACCCGTTCACCAGATCATGACAAAGAGCACACGGCGGGTGTGACCGGCCGGCATGGAATGCTTACTTCTCCATGACACCTGATCCCACCTCTGATGTTTTAAGAGATCCGTGCTTGCTCTTTTCACAATTTGTATTGTTTCAATGGACTTTCATTGAAAGGAATATTTTAATATTTCCTTTAATTTCCATCTAATCTTTAGACTCCTGTTATGGCCTCAAATCTGTTCAAGGGACCACGATTTGACAAAACGTTAATTCTACACTTCACTTCTTGAGGGTGCTTGCATCAAAGTTTACCAATTTATAGCACTAAATAGTTTTTAAGAACATTTGAAACAAAAATTCCTATGTATTTTTATACAATACTTTGGACTCTCCCTGTGCCAAATGTATCTCTTTAAAAAAGAATACATTCCCCAATTTGAATGTATTTGAAAACTCATCACTTCAAGAATGTTTTAAGTGGCCTTTGGTTTAAAAAAGATGTTTGTTCTGGAAAATTATGATTAGAAATGAAAAAATGCCCTAAAACGACGACCGACGAAAACAGATAGATGGAGCGATATGGTTGATATTTTAAAAATCAGATTATTTTGAAGAAAAAAGAGGTGTGATGAGGTACTTGCAAGTTTGAAAAGTTTTTGTTTTATAATATCTTTTCATACTTACGAAGAACAACATTATATTGCATATAGAATCGAAGAAAACACGGCTTGGGTCAAATAGTTTCCCATCCATTTCTTGAATTCGATCCACCAAAGCTATAAGGTCTGGTTCACAAATATCCTGTAAAGAAAGGAGTCCTGGTCCGTACATCTTTAAGGACTTATGTACTTCTTTTCGTAAAAAGATCAATTTGGAATTGTATGTTTGCCAAACGATAGACTTTTTGCATCTTCCCTTATGGTCCGTTCGGTGCATCTTGGGTCGACCAGCAAACTCTGTTCCAGATTGTACTAATGCTTGATGGATACTATTGTAGTCGTTTAAAACAACTATTTTCTCGTTAAACAATTTCACCTCGAACACGGTCCCGTAGCGCTTTGCCCACTCGGCAAACACGAGATGGCATCGGTCCATGGTTAACTGGAGGGCATTGCCAATGATGGGCCATCTACCTGGGATGCAGGGTACCTGGTGTTTCTTTCTGGTTAGTAATGGCCAAAATACCAAAGTAACGAACGAAACAATTGAAACAAAGCAACATGTGGTGAAAAATTCTAGAAGCATCCTTCTTGAACGCTGTTACGAAACTGTTATCAGCACCTAAATTCATCATGCGCACTTATTATATGTTTCCCGCGTCTTTTAAGTGTTCTTCTTAAGTGACCGTGCAGATAATATATAATGAACAAAACAGCCTACATAGGAGGGTCATGACAATGGCAGCTAGTATTTTTAAGGACAAACGATAAACTATTTCTCCCATGAAAGCATATTCTTCCTCATCGTGTTATATAAGATCCGCCTCACTCCTATATATATCTTCCTATTACCAATAGTGTAGTGGTAGCAGTACATATACTTAGTAAGAATCTTAGAGGTAACTAAAAGGGAAAGAGAAAAGAAAATTGATTAAAAAATGTAAATGAACTCTGTGAGTGATATGACTCACAGAGGAGTATCACATACATATGCCTTACCTTACATCACGTGCACTGACATATCCCAAGCCGTGATTGCAAGTATTGATTGTAACATCCTTTATATTCCGCACAGCTCAACAAACATTCAAGGTCACAACAGTAAAGGAAACACGTACACATGCATTTAATCAGGAATTTTGTGCGACGACATTATAGGCATATTTATTTGGCGTAGTATTGTTATTATTTTATGTGGTATCTTTATGCAAAAACTCGTGTTGAAATGTTTATGAAAAAGATTTATTCACACAAATATTCCTCACGTTCATTTACTTCCTGTACCGTTTAAATAATTTTTTCGGCATGATTTACTTTATTTAAAAGCGGAAATACAAATTTGTTTTTTTTTCCTTCTGCATTTTGGGACAAATAGTTTCTTCCGTAATATGAAATACGACTAAACTGTACGATTTAACAGACTTCCTGTACTAGTATCTATGGCTCGTATGTCTAGAGAACAAACTAAAAATCATTATAATTTACATAAGTAAACTTATTCATATTATTACCATAAAAATATTTACATATTTAATAGAAAATACTTGCTTTAATTATAAAACAGTTACCCGGTACTCCTGAAATGCTGTCTCATAAATCAGATTCTTACTAAGCACATGCTATGGAATTAACTCGGACAGAATTACAGACGTTGCAGTTAAATATCATTAATATATAAATACTAACTTACATTAAAGCTATATATGGCGTATCTGAGCTAAAAAATGAAAATACGAGATTGAGTGTAGATAAACATGATATATGTTATTTACGTTCAAATTAAAAATTTCACCGAGTTTGATCTTGAATAATCTCATGTTTCTATAGTTAAATTGATTTTAAAGTGTGTCTGTTATTTAAATGCGGAGTCGGTAAATAAATCAGTTATTGTTTTAAATTTCTAATATCTTTGAAACGTGATTGATTTAAATTGTGTAATTTACAGGAAAGTCCTATCTTTATATAAAGTAATAAAAAAATGGAAAGATCTTTTTAATTTTATAGTTAGTCTGAACTTATAAAAAATACGTCATATATGACTTTAATGACTCTGCTGAAGTCAGATGTAATATGACATATTCATATGCACGGATCTAGAGGGACCCCTCCCCCCCCGTGGAATTTTCAAAGTTATTAAAATACATAGTTAAGTTACTAAAAACTAAGTAAGTAAAAAATAACTAAAAATGACCTTGGAACCCCCCTCCCCTTTTTGCGAAACGCGCAATGATAATTAGTCCAGGTACTATCTGTTCTACTTAGGTGATCATAAAAGATTAAATAGTATTTAAATATTGATTTATTACATATGAAATATACATGTGGATTCATCAAATAAATTAATTAATCTTACATTATAAAATGAGAAAGATCAAAATAATCGTATTTAGGGGCCGGACACTTTATTTATTTTTAGTAGTTGAAAACAAAAACAAAAACATATTAATAGTAAATGACCACTTTAAGCTGAAATGATAAGATTTTATTCAGCAATCACAAATTTTATTTTTCTTTTTTTACACCACATCAACCTCAAGTCTCTAATTGTACTACTCACAAAATATAAGAAAGGGGCTTACAACATATATAATCATGCTTCATTAATTCGAGAAAACAAATAGCATAAAGAGCTTTGTTCGCATTCCTACTTGAGCGGCTCAAGTAGAGTCACGGAAAGAGCCGTCCAGGAAGGATAGCAAAGGTTATGAACATAATAGAGCTATATGTGTGGTGTGAAGAAATCCAGTTTGACCTCGTTCCTAAATTTTGATCTGAGTTTCGTACTGAATGAAATCGAGCGGTTATTACACTTTGTAAATCGCCAGAACAGCCACTACTCTCTTTTCTCGTAATAAAGCTTAATTGTTCAAGGTAATATTCATTTTTAAAATTTTTAGTTTTTAAAATCGGGATCAACATTTTATAACAATGACATCACAATTTGTGACGTCATAAACACAGTATTGTTAGGTAAAATACACAATGGAAATCGTCTAATGCAAGGCAAAAATAGTAATTAACCGTGACTTTCAGGCTAGGTAAATGGATAATATTGTGCCAGAAGGATTTACCAGCTCACACAGTCGGAAATCCAAAAAATGTCAAAGTCATGCCATCCAAGCTCAGCTGGTAAAAGAACATAAGCTGATTGACAAGGGGGAGATTGTGTGCTCCCGGGAAATGGGGTGAGGACTAACTCTAATATAAATTATAAAATATTTGGTTTAGGTGGACATAGTGATTGAAGAGATAGCCATTACTAGAAATACTTGTATGACTGTATGTCCATAGGACATGAAAAACCCTTACTTCTTTGGTCTGGGCTAGGCCTAATTTATAGTAAAATACGGTGAAAGAAGGATCATTTTCTCTCCATATAATATTTCATAGAACCTCTAACTTTACCTTTATTATAGTTTAGTATCTTTTGTAGCATAATATGTAGACTGGTGTTGATTCATCTTAGTAATCTAACACCAACTGGAGTCTCGGTCTGTTTTAAGTCCACTCTCTCATACGTAGCAGATTTATGTACACGATATCTTAAAAAGATATAGTTAAAAGGCTCTCAGAGAATTATGGCACGGTTGGATTGCGTTTACCAGTTTGTGTCAGTATATCAAGTTTGATGAGAAAAAAAAGCAAGGAACTGCAAAATGATAGAAAAGGATGCCAAGGTCAAGGTAAAAAAAAACCATGGCACAGTTGAATTGCTTTTATCAATATGTATCTTTGTAAAAGAAAAATTGAATTAAGATTTCCTGCAAAATGAGGTCAAGGTCATAGGGAAGGTTAAGGTCAAATACTTTTTACGCATTTGAATAGTTCTCATCAATATATATCTATCCACAGGTTTTGATAAAAATATCTTGATAAGTTTCTTTGAAACTAAAATTATTGCAAAATGAGGAATAGTAGGGACAAGGTCACAATGAAGATTAAATTGAATTGTCTCATCAATATGTGTCATGGTATGAGTTTTGATAAAAATATCTTGGTTTCTTAATCTTTGAAACCGAGCTAAACGCAATTTGGAGAATATAGAGTTCAAGTCATGATGAAGCTCAATGTAAGAATGAATAGTTCTCATCAATGTTAATTATCACTGAATGAGTTTTGATACAAATATATTGAATAGTTTTTTGAAACTGAGCTAAACGCAAATTGAAGAAAAGTGAGGTCAAGGTCATAAGAAATAACAAGAACAAAATTTTTTGATTCAGATGACTTTGTCTCACTAATATGAGTGAAATTTGAAAAAAATATCTTTAATAGTTTCTTTGATACTGAGCTAAACTCAAAGGTTGACAGAAGGACATGACAAAACCACATGCCCCAGCCATACTCAAGGCGAAGCATTAAAATATATTAATTAATCCTATTCATTTCTTACCTGGGATCAAAGGAATTCGGTAATGATACAAACTTGCTATATAGTGCTCTCTATATACTAATAGGTCCCCATAAGCAAAGTACACACATGTGTAATACCGATTTGTTTCTCTCATCCGCGATGACTAGACTTAAAGAGGCTGGGGGGTTGTGGCCATTTTTAGACTATATTGATCTCCTTTAGAAGAAGAGCTCCATGTAAAGATATAGAAAATGATCAAATTTTAAAACTAAATTTTTGAAATTTTTCTTTGCCAAATGATAGTTGACAGCTTAAGATATCATATCTAAAAAATTAAGTTAAATCTGGTGGTTAATTTGTGGTTAATTTGTTGACCCCCCAACCTCCTTAACTTATCCTTCACCAAAGCGTACAGTTCACAAATTAAACGAACCATTCCGTGCAAGAAGCGTATCGTACCGTGCACAAAGCGAACCGTACCGTGCACAAAGCGAACTGTATCGTTCACAAAACGAACCGTACCGTGCACAAAGCGAACTGTATCGTTCACAAAGCGTACCGTACCGTTCACAAAACGAACCGTACTGGTCCATGCAAGTGGTGTATTACTACTTAGCACGTTATAGGGTCTGTATTAAAAATTCACTTTGCTGTCAAAGTGATCGTATATCAGTCAATAGTTTTGTGTATTTGGTATTTGCAGGAAGGACCAAGAGAGGATGAGAAAGTGCTTAGAAAAACTCGAGCACGACAAGAAAAAAATCTACAAAGAACACGAAATTCATCGAGGCGTACGTATGATATACGAGTGTCGTTCAAAAAATGATGCAAAAGGTCATCTAGAAATAAGAAAAGTATGTAATAAATATTCTTGATATTTTCAATCCATCTAGCGAATATGGGGGTTGGCATAGCTCTGTAAACTTTCTTTTCTTAAAAATTTCGTATATTTCTTTATGCCTGTTTGCAGCAGCATTGTCAGGTAAAGGAAAATTAGTAAATTACCCTGGGGACCGGTATTTGGACTACTTTTGCAGAAAATCCGTTTAAAGCAATATGAGCTGCAACTTTGGAAAATTTTTAGTCAATACTGTAATTAACTATTTCAGTGTCAGAAAAAAGAACGTTTAAAAACTTCTGTTGTTAATATTTGTGATGGAAGAACTATTTATAAGCTTTGATTGAAGCAAAATTGTATTATTGTCATCCTGTACAATATTGATTTCTTATATAATACTATACATTCCATTGCACAGAAATCTTTCTTCTGAAAAAAATACTTCGTTTAGTCTAATTGATCAGAAAGGTTTAAATTACATACAGATTTATAACAGCACATTTTAACAGCAAAATAAAATTCTCAAAAATGCATCTCATATTGCTTTAACTTTCCTTAGTGCAATTTGAGCATAAAAGTTACTATTGATGTCTATTTACATGTTTTACTGGACCTCTTGAAAAAAAAAATATAAAAACTAGAAAAACGAGTTTGGAGTCTTTGTTTCTCTTTACAATAATAAGACTAGATTCCACATTTTATTATTGATCTTCCTTTTCGGCTATAAAAAGTGCACCCGTGTTTCGTCATTCATCACGCAAGTTTATCAAAACTTCTATTTTGTTAAAATATTTGTGTTTAAATAGATCATTGGCACATTTAAGCCTGTTTTCTCTTTTGTAAGAAATTCAGGCACCTCTCTGATACAGGCCCGTAGAACACGGGGGGGGGGGGGGGGCACAGGCCACTTTTTTGTGAGTATATTGCTATAGTAAATTCTCCTTTAGATGCTGCCCCCCCCCCCCCCCCACTTTTTGATGTTGAAAGGTCGAGCACAGGCAAATTTCAGGATTTGGACAGTAAATTAGCTTTTTTTTTTGCTTGTCAGATAATTTTGGGAAGTTCCCCCCCCCCCCCCACACACACATTTGGTTAGTTTATTTTTTTTTTGTTGTTGTTGCTTGTCGGATTTTTGGGGAAGTTGCACCCCCCTTTTTTTGAAACCGTTGCTACGGGCCTGTGATAGAAATATTATTATATTCATTTCCTTTGTCGAAATTTTATAAAATGCTGTGATGATGAAATGTTTTAGTGTCCTAACAAAGTCTTTCAGATTAAATCTGACATTTTCAGATATCATGGTGCACACAGCATCGATATTTTTGGTGTCCCTTCAGATTTCAATCGACCAATTTGACCATTATATTTTAACTCTCCTCTTTACTTTTGAATTTCTTAATCCATCTGAAAATATACGACTTTAAAGACTATTCTTTCCAGATCCTTAATTTGAGTTCTTCAGCGATTTATGTAAAGAAGCACATTTTTCACATACGCTTCCATTTTCATCTTCTTGGCAGAGATCATCTTTAAAAAGTTTTCAGCTCAGTGTAGTGACCATGCTTACTTTGAAAGTGAATTTCTTTGCGAGGACAATATGACAAATCATGGGGGGTTCTGTGATAAGAAGCTCTTTAATAGAACTATTCAACTGTGAAAAAATAAAATGAAATACTTCTAAATTTATGATATACTGTATATTGCATTATTTTTTGAACAACCCTTGTAATAAGAAAAAAATATATATAATTTCCTTGCTGCCAACACAGCTTCTTTTAAGTCATTTGTGCCAAAAAATCAGGTAAGCTTTTACGTAATTCAAAGAATTTCCTACGTCGATCTGTCCGCCTGTTGCGTGTCGTCTGTAAACTTTTCACATTTTCTGGCAACCACTGGGCCATGCAATTTTAAGAAACTTGCCATCATTGGCTTTTTTGGGATTCAAATTTTTAAGAACCAGACACTCTTTCCAGGGAAGATAATTATGAAATAGAACAATATGATGAAGCCATTTAAAAATATCCTTGTGGAAAACCACTGAACTAGAAAAGACAAATTCTGTGTGGAAGCTTTGTCATATTGTAAATTTTGAATTTACTGTCATTCGATAGATTTAAAATTACAATATGACAGATTGATTCAGTTTAGATTCAGTTTTGCCCAAATCATGGCTTCTGGGTGAAAGGGGGAAGGGATGGGGGTGTCAGAATTTAACAGAAAAATGTAAAGGAAAAGTCTTTAAAAAGAACAGTAAAACCAATGTTAATTGTACATGTATATGTTATTAATATAATTAAGCATTACCACGGAGATAAGAAATGGAATAATAGCCTAGCTAAATCGTACTAATATGCAAACATTCCAAAGTTGTATGTCAGTGGAGTCGATTTTGTTCAAAAAATGGAACCTGGATTAGAATGGGCTAAAATAGGACTACAAGGATATACAGGAAAAAAATTTCAAAAATCTTTTTCACTTGAACAGCACTAACGTCATAATCACAGTGGTATTTAGCTATTGTAGAGTGGATTTAAGTTTGATTAAGTCATGGTCCCTTGGGGGCTCGGATGGGGACAAAATATGTGTCAAAATTTTACATGGGACTGCAAAAAGAAAAAAATTCTTTTAAAAAATCTTTTAAAGAGTAGCAGGATCAAGGCAACTCAGGTAAGCATACTGTCCCATGGGCATGTATTCAGCTTTGTTAGTCTATATATCAGAAGAGAAATTATTTTTTTCGATATTTTTTTTAATAACATTTGCAATTAATTCTTGAAGTACAGTGTATAATTGTCCTTTTTTTTGTTAAATAGAAATCTGTCTATCCTTAAAATATTTTTATAAACTAATTAATATTAATAACATGACATGTTAAATTGGGTGGCTGTCCTAACCACCTAGATCAAAATGCTTATTGGAATCTGAGACTGTTTTGCTGCACAACAATGCTTTATACTCGAAGCAGTTTTGTTTTATTTTAGTGAAGTATTGTTACTTATCAAATCCATTTTAATAGCGATTCTCTGTAACCACTTAAACTTCTTTGCCACGCATGGTCACCGATTTTGATGAAACTTTGCCCATTATTACAACTTGACACCAGAAACATATATCAAATAAAATGTCGTTGCTATGTGTCTTGGTTGCCATGGTAACAGCCAGAAAAGGTGAAAAAAATTAAGATTTTCAGCGACTTTAAATCTTTATTAAGCCTTAGTAAAGACTAAGAAAAACAAACAAACCATTCTCCCAAAAACATGACACCTTGTTGCCACTTATGCTATAAAGAAACTATTTAGAATTTATCTCTAAGTAAGTGGTAACCATGGGTACATTTGGAATACATTTCAGATGCTGAAAAATGCTGAAAAACGCTCTGTAGTCACAAATGATAGATGTTACATGATCAAACTCAATCAACAACGTAAGAAAAACAATGAAAAATATTTGACCTCATGTAATTAGGTATTGGCAATATTATTCTAAAAATAACTTTCATGGTTGCCATGGTAACACAGTGTCACCATGCCAAATCTGATACTATGATTGGGTTAATACTACTATCGTGAGGAAAAACAATAAAATTCATGGCTGGCACATATGCATCCTTAGGACCTTGCAACACCGACAACATAAGAAAAATTGAGATTAATTGTTACTTTGCAGTGTAACCATGGAAACAACGTACTAGTTGTTTAAAGTGATATTTTTTGCTGCTTTAGGAATTTACTAACCTTTTAATCAAGAAACACATTATTTGAATCACCTTGAATAGTACTTATCTCGTAGAACTAAAGTTGAATATCATATATTGATGAAGGTTGTTGAAAAATACAACACTGTTGCTATGGTTACCAAGAAGAGAAAATGTTCGATTTTGTTTATTTTTTGTCAATATTAGACCCTATGTGCCAGGTTTTTGCATCCAGTTAGAGATTGGGTGATAGTCAAAATTGAAAGTCATGTTAGTTGCTCACATATATCAATCATTAAAGTTTTGGGAATCTACATAGAACGGTACGTATCCAAGGAAAAAGAGTATTTTTCAGATTTTTATGCATGCTTTTTCGCCTTATTTCCATAGCAACGCACTATTTAAAGAATTGAAATTGAATTTTTTGAAATGTGAAAATTAGGGTCACACCAAGACCTTTAAAAATTGATCATCAGTTATATAGAAATATGCTTTTTAAAAAGATAGGATAAGATTAAAACACTAAGAGAGTAAATTTAAAATCCCTTCGTGGTATTAAAACCATGGCAACCATTGGCAACCTATAAGAAATATCATATTTTGTCCTTGGTATATGTTACAAGGATCTTTTCTCTATTATTTGCTTCCATTTCAACCTATAATTGTTTTTATTCTTAATTGTTTGACTTTATAAAGTTAAATGAACAAAATTATTACTTTTGAATACTTTGTTTCCATAGTAACGTATGTTATAGATGATTTACCAAACATGTTTATCATGCATTTAAGACACCAGGCCTTCAACTTTCAGAAACAGTCATTGCCACTTGTTTGCTTTGCTGCAAACGTTAACTGTGGGACTCTGAAGATGTTGAAAAATGCCATTTTTCAAATTTTAGGACATGTTGCTATGGTAACCATGACACGTAGCAACCAATTTTTGCCTGATTTGAGTTTACGGTATCAAAGACTTTTATTATAGAGAGTTTGGAGAAATTCTGATACTATGCGTGCCACAGCTCCTATATAAAAGTTCAAGTCATTACAGAGAATAGCTCTTAATTCCTTCAAAGGAATCCATAAACTAAACAAAATTGCGCATAAGTCACTGCTATAAATCCAGACCAATATAGTTTCAGTCTTGACAGAGAATCTATTGCAATACAAGCTGTGTCAAAGGTGTTAATTTTAAAAGTTTATATAATAAATAATTCCAGGCATGACCATGAATGTTATCTGGTACCTAATAACATGCACATAAAAAAAATGAAATTGTTAGATTACTATTCGTATGATAGTTTTATTTGTATTTCATTATTATATATTTTTTAAATTTAGACTCCTCCAATATCTAGCATGGATGAAAGGGAAAGAGCACACAGGTAATTTTTATGTTTTTTAAATCAACCCCAAAAGTTTAAATAGTAAGATGATTAAGTAACAGATTCAAAAACTATTAAAGGCACAAAAATATTGCCCATTTTGATTTTTCCATTTACAGCCGAAGCAGCAGTCGCCCTCTGAGTGGGTATGAGGTCAAAGTTCAATCGCGCAGTCGTCGTCAGTTACAGGAAGCCGGGGCCACTTCCGTGGACCTCAAACGCACCTCATCACGGAGGTCCACCGACCAGGGTACATGTAATTCTAATGTTCATATTTTTTTAATATTAATCTCGCCGTCTCTCGATTTTTTCAATAATAGACTATCGTAGCTACATAAGTTTTTTTTTTCCTAGCAAACAGTGAATGGAATAATACAATTATCGTACTCAATACACACAGAGAGCCACATTGCTTAAAATAAACATTTACAAGAGGGATTCTTTTCCTGGAAAAAAGATCTTTACATTTAAGGACAGATGATATAAACAAACTTTTATCAAAAAATTTGAAAATAACAACTTGAGTCAATAGACTATTATGGCTTTGTACATACATGTATAATAATAATAATAACAGAGCCCTGTTTATATAAGTAAAATGATCAAGTTTAACCGCATAGTTTTTTAGTTTTTCATTCGAAGTTTTACAATAATGGGATTTGAAGTGACAAAAATATGTATAGATTAATATAGATGGTTGCAGAAAGGTAGAATGTTGAACACCATAGAAGGTTTACAATTTCTTATTTTAGAAATTTATTATTTGCATCATTTACAACAAAAATAGGCCCAAAAATATATACCCATCCAGGCATCTATTTTTTTTTGTGTGTTTCATCTGTCCTTAAACAAGTCATCAAACTTTGTAGAATAGCACAAAATAGTCCTAGTTATGTACATGTATATTGAATTTATATTGTTCTTGTTTGATCAGCGAAGGTATCAGATCACAGTCACGAACACCATTACAACGGACGACAGCGCAGCAACTCTTTGTCCTTACCAGGCCCCAGTAAGTTTGTTATATTCTTCACTAATTGCAATAAAATAAAAATGTACTAAAGTCAATTTTTGAGTGTTGAAGAAATGAAGTCAAAAGGTACGAAAATGACTGTGGATATATTTACATGTACATTCCATAATTCCGCTGTTTAGAACTGCATGTGCTCTGAGATTTAAAGAATTTGGTGTAATTAAGCATCATAATTCTCCTTCAAGTAGATCCCTTAATTTTATGATATTAGATGATATTTTATCACTCAACAAAAGATATAGTGTATTTGATACATGCCAAAACTTTGGGAAAGAAAACATGAATTAAGTCTAGATAAGATAACAATTTCATCGAAAATCTGGACTTCCAGAAGGCGGCTGCTTGCTTACACTTACGTCAAACTGTGGATGTTTGCTGTACATACCGCACCAGACCAAGTCCTATCATTCGGGAGAAATGTCAATGAATACATTATTTCTTTAAGAAGGCTTTTATTATCTCGTTATTCTTCAACAATATCAAAAAAAAAAAAAAAAAAAAAAAAAAAAAAAAAAAAAAAAAAACCCTCAAAGTATCAGTGAAAACACGTTAACCCAATAGTTCTCTTTTTTGAGAGGCCAGATAAACATTCAAAATACGACGTCATAGTGGTCAAAATATTTCCTACTTAACCATATGATATTTGTGCCAAAAGAATGACAATCGAAACAATACTTAATACATGTAGTGAAATATTGATTCTGTGTCACATTTCCTTTTTGTGGTTAAGCCTAACTGGTCATCAGAAGACCTTATGCAATGGTTATTTGTCCGTTCTGTGCCCGTCTTTCTGTCTGTTCATTTGTAACTATTTTTATACCCCACGCATCAAGTTGCGTGTGGTATAATGTTTTTGACCCGTCCGTCAGTCAGTCAGTCAGTCAGTGTGTCAGTCAGTCAGTCCGTCAGTCCTGTTTTTTGTCAGCGCAACTCCGCATAAACTGCTGCACAGAATTTCGTCAAACTTTGCAGACATTTAGGACACAATGTGTAGATGTGCATATTACCAGGAAATTCCGATTCTTTTATTTTTGGGGGAATTTCGGCACTTTTCAACTTAGATTTTTGGCAATATCTTCAATATAGAGATGACCAGTTTGTCAGCGCAATTCCTCTTCAACCGCTGCACAGAATTTCGTCAAACTTTGCAGTTATTTAGGACACAATGTGTAGATGTGCATATTACCAGGAAATTCCGATTCCATTATTTTTCTTGGAATTTCAGCACTTTTCAACTTAGATTTTTGGCCATATCTTCAATATAGAGATGAACAGTTTGTCAGTGCAATTCCTCTTAAACCGCTGCACAGAATTTCGTCAAACTTTGCAGATATTTAGGACACAATGTGTAGATGTGCATATTATCAGGAAATTCTGATTCCATTATTTTTCTGGGAATTTCGGCACTTTTTAACTTAGATTTTTGGCTGTATCTTGATTATAGAGATGAACAGTTTGTTAGTGCAACTCCTCTTAAACCGCTGCACAGAATTTTGTTAAACTTTGCAGATATTTAGTACACAGTGTGAAGATGTGCATATTACCAAGAAACTCTGATTCAATTATTTTTGCCTTCAGAGTTTTGCCTATTATTGAAGAAACTTTCCAGCTAGATAGTAAGGAAATCCACTGGAATCAGCTTTTGTAATGAAATTTTATGTGAAATATTTCATGACCTTAAAAGACTCCTATTGATTTTGAGATAAAAATATAAATTATTAAACACACACACACACCCTCACACACACACAATCTTGGAGAGTTCTCTCTCTCTCTCTCTCTCTCTCTCTCTCTCTCCCCCCCCCCTCCCCCTCAAATTGGTGCTTTGCCTTAAATAATTTCATAAGTACAGTATATAAACAAATTCATATGACTACATCGTAATTTTGTTTCCATCAATTATTTAAATGTGTAAATTGTCATGTGTTGGACATGGACTTACACTCATTAACAAATCGAAATCACTGAGGAATTTAAATAACAGTTTGTCAGCATAACTCCTGCACTGAATTTCCAGAAACTTTGTAGGTATTTCAGACATAATGTCTAGATTTGTATATTACCAAGAAATTTTGATTCCATTATTTATCTAGAAACTTCAGCCCAATTCAATTTGTAACATACAAAGATTTGAATGTCCTTATATGCAAGAAGTTTTGATGTGATGATTTTTTGCAAGTAATTCCCCTTTTTGAATTATACTGTGTATTTAAAATGCACTGTGCCATTCATTATGTGTTGCATTGTCGAGTTTTGGGGGAGCGTGGGGTATGTGAGCTTGCTGACTTTTTCTTTCATTTAATTTCAAATGCTCCCACTTCAAAGGTTATTCTTCTTTCAAGAATACTTAAAAACTGTTTACTAACTCAAGATAAGTAACTTTGCATGTCGGTTTTGGATTTTTATGACTACTGCTTCCAGATTTGCTGTACCAAATACTAGTATCAGAACCCTCATATATACTTTTGCATCGATTTTTGGTTTCAATGGATGATGTTTTCATGGTTACCAGAGATAAGATTTTAAAATATTTTAAATGTACTTCTTTTCATTTTTTAAAATTCAATGAGATGGATCAAATAGACATAACAATAGGATCCATAAACCTATAAAAAAAAATTATTTATTTTTATGAATGATGTTGAAAAATTTAAGGCTGCAGTAGATGTCCAGCTCTATATTTTCTCCAATTCTATTGAAACATTTAGACAGTTTTAATCAACATAATCGTATTTTCTGTGTTTGATTTTTTATTTATCTGGTACTGAAAATAAGATGTCTCTAATTTAGAAGGAAGTCCTACACTGTAAAAAATGATGTTTAACTTGTGTTTAATTTTTAAACAGTCGTGTTTTACAATTAAACATAGTGGGTTTAAATACAAAACATTAGCGTTTTATAAATAAACACTGCTATTTAAACTGGTGTTCAATTAGTATGGTGTTTAATCATCCATCTTAAACCGTAAAGTTCATATGTATCAAATCAAAAAATAAATTAGGTGTTGCTTCTCAGTATTGCTGTGTGCATTTGCCATTTGTATAATTTCTTAATTTATGAAGTAATTCCGTACATAATAGTAGATATTTTTCGACACAGAAAAAAATACGAATAGCCAGGCAATCTGTTGACTTTAGATCATACCAAAGGCAATTACAATTAACATTAATTTACCGTAGTTTTGTGCCAAAAATTCATAATTTTCATAAACTGTTAAAGGGGAAAAGAAACAAATGACTGCCGTCATGAGAAAAGGGCCCTTATCTTTTGACGTCACAATGCACAGAAAACGACGTCAAAGTTGCAGTATTGAAAACACGGAAGTATTTTTTGTTGACTGCGTCGTGAACAAGAAATAAAATTGGATTTCCAAGCGTATCACATCCCCCAGTCAAATAATATGAAATTTGATACGGACATTTTTGATAAATTGTATTGTTATTATTTAGTACATGCATTCATTCATAATTCTGTTTAAGTATTTAACTTGATATCACATAATTAATCTCAACGCAACATTGAACACATTGTTACGTAGAGCGATTTATAGCGATGTCTGTACATTACGCACAACTAAAGATGCTGTATATTTGTTTTCTGAGCAATTTGCAAATGCTTAAATTTGACTCATATTAAGTAGACTTAATATTAAAAAAGTATTCTACATAAACGTTTATGTTTTTTCAAAGAGAATGGGAGAGAGAGAAATCAATTCAATAATATGCGTTTTTTATAAGTGTTTCTTTATTCTGAAAAATACCTTCATATAAAATGTATTTAGTCATTTTAATTTTAATCCATAGTTAAACATATTGATATGCACAGTTAGACCAGCTCAGTGTGAAGCGCCGATTTCTGTGTGTGTGTGTGTGTGTGTGGGGGGGGGGGGGGTAATTGACAAGTCAAAAAAATCTCTGAATGAAAAGGCAACCGGTAAAATTTCAAATTAAAAAAGTGAACCCATCTTTCTTTGGATACAGATACCGGTAACATAGGAGATTCGAATCTCCTACTAAAACAAATAAGGAGCAAGAGAATATGCTAAGGAAAAAACGGAGGAAGTGGGTGCCACGAAAAATTTGCTTAAAAAACAATTTTGCAATAATCAAACAAATACATTAAAAAGTAGTCTCTGATAACAATTACTATTTTATCAATTTTCTTAAATTGTTCCGATAAAAGCCGGCTTGAAATTGAACTGCAACAATATGTTTTAAATTAACAACAGGTAATACGTGGACTTTTTCTAGCAGCATTACATGTATATACTCAATGTTGAAGATAATAACAATTCCATCGCCAGTGATATTATGATTGAAAGTATTTATGAAACATACAGAGGAAACAACAGATTAAACAATAGATTAAGTTGTAAAGAAATTACAAACTTCTGATAAATGTTGAATTGGCGACATCTTTTGAGAATAAATCACTGATAGAGGAAAAGTACTAGTAACAAGTGGATATGAGTGTCATATTCAGATGTCATCAACCACATTAACACCAATCGCACGACAACAAAGACAATCAAGAAATCTACATTTTGAGAAATATGAACTTCAAACATAAAAGCACTGGTGATGTTTAGAACGGGAAAAAAACGGAGGTTCATGTAAAACTTTGATGACCGTGAAATATGTAAGGAAGAAATTTTTTTGTACCGACTATATAGAATTCATGTATGTAATAAATTGGTCACGTTTCGCATTGAAATCTTGGACGTCGAGTCTCAACTCTGATATCTCGATACCCCGGATATTTTGACATTTTCTGAAGTTCTGTTGATGCCGGGATACTGAAGTTTATACCTGTATAGGACTTTAAGGAAAATGATTTTAAAATCAAACACACACACCTTTCTGCTTTTAAAGACAAAAAAATCCAATAACTAGGAAAAATGGTTTGCCTATTTACCTTTAGCTTTCAGGACGAAAGCAGATACTTAGTCGCCTGTGAAGAGAGTCAAGTTAGTGCGGACCGGTAGAGTTTAAAATATGAAAAGCTTAGGTGTCAGGATATAGCTGATGTCACTGAGGAAGATGAATAAATGGCCTTAATTGCGTAAAAATATATTCAAGTCTCGCAAGATATTCAGTTTCAATTTCAAATAGATTTTGTCAAAATTGTAATGCAACTGTACTTCAATTCCCACAGAAAAGTTCAGCTCCGTTTAGTGTGCATATATAAAAAAGAGCCATGGGCAGTACAACCATTTCTTTGAACAAACTTTACAATGTTTTTAAAGAACTTTCCGTAAATCTGAGTTGGGAACCAGACAATCGTTGTAATTATTGACTTGCAATAACATAAGTTGTTAATATCTGACGAGATTTTATCAATTTCAGGAATCCAGAAGGATATTATTTCACATGAAGCGCAATATTACTAGGAATTTCATTTTTTCTAGGATTGAAATGTCGAGCTTTAATAAACTTAAAAATGACACGGAACAGCTGCCGGCTATATTTGTATGTCCAGCAAGTGAGAATTAGTATCTGGCAATATGATGGCGAGAACTTTGCCAATTCATTAGGAATCTTTTTTACAGGAAAAAATTCAATAATGTTTCTTATTGAGATAACAGTAACGGCCCTTTTCAAGAAATGATGCACGATTCTTGTGTCCAAGTGATACAGCAGTAGCGTCGAAGCTACAGGTGCCTCCCAAAAAAAAGAGATCAAAGTACATTTATAAATGCTTCTGATTAACTGTGATTTACTTAAAAAAGAAGTTGACAAAAAGTTCAAATTTCACTGAATAAACTTTTATAAGACAATCCTTTGAGATAACTATGTGCCTCTTTTTAATCTTTCTACTCCATAACTGTACAGGCGAAGTAATTGAACTGTATGGACAATGGAAACTTAATTATTTAAACATTTTTTATGAAAGTATTTCCAAAAAAAAAAAGTTATTAAAAAAAAATCCGCTTTGTAGTAACGAACTTTTTTCTTTATTTATGACTTTTTATGAACGGTTTAAATGTTTAAAAAAAAAACAACAACAACAAAACAAAAAAACAAAAAAAAAAACAAAAAACAAAAACAATTTTACACATCTTGGCGTATTGGAATTAATTTCCCATTAGAATTATTCGGTGATACAGAAAATAGGGGTGTTATCCTCTCGTTACAAAGTTAGAGGGAATAAAGTAACGCGGCGTGTGTGTATGTGAGTGAATGCGTGCTTATACTCGAAAATAATATATATTTTAAATCGGGATCAATGTGCTTTATTGCGAGGGGATGCCCCGTTTTGCGCACGGTGTCTTCTTTGGGTTGGATCTCTCCTTTCTCTATGGGGCATCTGTGAAGTGTTTTTTTTTATGTTCTAATGTTACAAGTTCTTTATATATTTTATAAATTGAGCCAGAGTATTAAATATAAAAAGAATACCATTTGTGGAATTGAACAAGTGTTATTTTTTTGACTGCATATAAACCATTTCTAGATCCTGTCTAGACCTCCACCCCCTTTTTACGAAATTACTAGATCTGCTCTAAAATATATGAACTAGACTTTCCTTAGGAAGAATTACATACGAGTTGCTTTAAAGAAAAAAAAATAATTTTCTCAAGTTTATATGTATCAAAACGAATAAGATTATTTAAAAAAAAATCAAAAATGATTGGAATCTGAATTTGACGCACGCGACGTCATTACGTTTTCAGATAGTAACGTCAACGTTGTTTTGAAGCGCCTTACTAAAATGCTCATAAAATACTGAAAAAGTGAGATATTTTAAATATTTATGTAAATTTGCATTCAGAAAGAGTCAGGCTATGAAAATTAACCAAAAAGTCAATTTGTGAAATTTTGACCTTAAGGGCCCTTTTCTCATGACGGCAGTCAAATATTATGATGACTTTTAGAATTGTATCAATATTTTAATCACCGGTGTTTAACACGAGTGTTCATTTCTTAACCATCATATATTTATAAATTAAACACATGGTATTTATATAGAAATTGCAAATTAAACACCCGTGTTTAATACGTTATGATAGAAAATGACGCAATTGATTATGTCATAACATGCCATTTGAACGCAGAAGATGCAGAATCGCGCATATACTGACAAGAAGCACCATACCTAAGAAGGAAACAGGAGGTATTTATACATTTCTTTATATAAAATCTGAAAAAAAAAGAATGTTAAATACATTAAAAATCTATAATGCTTTTCATTTATGAAATGCAGGATTGTTTCCTATCGTTAGTAGGCCTAATCGTCCTGAGTGCAATGCGGCCATGCGAAGCGGTAGACTGATAAAATATTTGTAGGCTTTTAGTACTTTGTGACATCTAATTAATTTGCAGGGACGTTCATCTGTTATTGTGAATCCTGAGAAGTATACATTACTTGATAAAGGAAAGGGATTTTAAACGAAGATCATACTTAGCCTTGAGAGGTGAGTTTAAATTAAGGGCATTCAAAGAAAAAGGGTCACCCCCCCTCCCTACACACACACACACATACACACACACCATTGATTCCTGGTATGTAAATGTAATCCAATTACCTTCCCTTGATAAAATTTATGCTCTCTATCACGCATTATTATGATTATTTGCTGACCATACACAACACATGAGCGTTAACAACATGCAACAATACTATAATCGCGCAAATTCCAACAATAATTTTCATCCCCAGCCCGCGCACTTGTAATTTAAGGAGACTAAATTTTGGGGGGAGTGTGTTGTTTACATGATAGAAAATGCCTTGGATAACCCCCTCCCCCTTCTCTTAATTGTTGCTGTTGGGCTGCTCCTGCAGGTACATGAACATTTAATTTTTTTTTAATTTTTTTAGTGTATGTATACACAGTTTGTACGCTTATATGATTTATTTGTATTGAGATTTTTATTCCAAACTTGTTATTATATAATTAAAATTGGCGTGAAAAATAACAATTTTTTTTTCGATTTCAATGTTTTCTTTTACAGAAAATTTTCTGAATTTGCATAGTGGATATTTTTTCGATTTCATCTATCTATTTTTCAGGATATCTCTGATAAGAAGAAGGAACTAGAACTACTTAGGGTGAATAAAATTTTGGAGAATGGAAAACTGGAGATCATCATCGATTGCAGAAGAACCTGGATTTTACACACAAGCAGAGGAGCTAGACTGTTTAACTCGGTTAGAATATTATATGAAAAGTGAGTGATACCCCGGCAGCTCTTGTGTAGTTGCAAGAAGTTAACGAATTAGTCCTTTACACGTCAAAATTGGAAAATTTCTTCAATTGGTTAAAACTTTAATATATTAATGAAAGTAAACTTGTCACATGTATAACTGGATTTATTAGTGTAATACATATATATCCGTACTCAGACAACAAATAACATTTTTAGCCTTTTTGCATTATATTTATTTATAAATTTGTATGTTTTATTTTATTAAAAAAAGGATGTAAAGGACACCCTGGCCCTTATTTTAAAATAATGTTTCAAAATTTTACTCCTGAAAAATATTTCATTTTATTAAGCGATAATGTATGTATTTTTCCCTATTTCAAAGACACCCCCCCCCCCCACTAGTTCACATGTCCCTATTCAACATTAAATAATTTAGTAATTAAGCTTTATGTACATGTTCATCATCAAGCACAGTGTGTTTTGTACTGTTTTATGTTTGTTTCTAATAAAAATGTTGAAAACTTATACACACGTTTAAGTGTTTATTTATTTGGTAAATTAAACACGTTGAAGTGTTTAAAAAATGACGTATAAACATGTTTAAGTGATTATTATCTGTTGCATCGAATAAACATGTTTAAGTGTTTAAGTGTTTAGGTTGAACATGTTTATTAATAAAACATGAAATGTTTAAATTTTAAACACGTACGGTGTTTATTTAGTAAACTATTTGTGTTTATTCAGTGTTTAATCTTTAAACATTTTGTGTTTTTGAAGTGTTTAGTATTTAAACAGAATGGGAAGAAGTATTTAAATGTTAAACCTTATGTGTTTAGATTTTAAACATTCTAACGTGTTTATTTCTTAAACACTTCACGAGGTGTTTAAATTTTAAACGTGTTGAAGTGTTTATTATCTGTGGCAATTTGGTGTTTATTTTTAAAACACTTATTTTTTACAGTGTACCCCTGAATTTTTTTTACCATGCATGTCTCAATTCATTTATTTTAACTGAAGAGTCTTATTACTTTCCATTGAAATTCAACATTCAGATATTTAAATGTCATAAATAATTATGCGCGCGCATTTTCAATGTTTAACAACTAGAGTAATAATATCGCCAGAGTTCTTTTTGAATTATTACAATACTTTTTGTTTTATCTTCACTTTATCTTTCTCTTGCAGTTAGGAAATTGTCCATTTCTCATAAAAGTGCAACATGTGCGGAAATTGATAATCGTACGTAAATTCTTGAATCTGTATTAATTCAACAAATATTTGATATGACGTACATTTGTGTAAGAATGTAGTTAGAATAAATACATTAACATTTTTAAAATATCTGAAATAAAATAGCCCTGCCAGTCAATCAAATGCCATCCATTGTTCTAACGGAAGAGGATTGTAAGACGTCTAGTATCCTTTACCTCTCTCCAAATGCAAAACAGAACGTCGATCCTTTGAATACCAAACAAGGAATAAACAATGAGAGCTCAAATAAAGAAAATTCTGCACCATCTAATCAAGAGCATCCATCTAGACAAGGGTTCCGAGAACATAATCCTTCCCCTCGTGAAAATATCAAAAAAGATTCCCAACCTCATAAACATGACCATCACCAGGATTCTAAAGGTGCGCGCAAGAAGCATGATCCCCACGATCATCATCAACATGGAGCGCACCCTCATGGGGCAAGTGCAAAACATGTGCACATTGAACACACTGGATCACATGATAATCAAGGAGAACGTGAACATCGTGGTCATCATATCGCGCATGCAACACATGGACATCATGAACGCACTATGCCACATAACCCTCAGCATCACGGTGTACGTCGTGTATTACAGGATCATTACGATTCACAGAGTGGTCTTATGACAAATAAGGATTCAAAGCATGATCACGACCATCAAAAACACTCACCCAGGGAAAGCAGGAGACAGAGCCTTCCTGACCACAGAAGACCCTCTCTCGGCGGCCAATCCCGGGTCATTGCCCAAGAAGACAATTTGGAGGAAGCACAAAATTTGTATGAATTAGCGATTCAGTCTGTAGCGGAAGCTCACAAACAGACGATGCCAACTGGTCAGGGAAGACGGGGGTCTTTACCAGGTGAGAAGCGAGGATCACTTCCTGGAGAAAGGAGAGGATCTCTTTCCACTGATAGGGTAAGAACTAAGAAGTAATGAAAAGATGATTTACTTCAATAATAGTCAATCAAGTGAAGTAATATTCTCGCTGTTGTAAAATGACATGAATTCATTTGATAGCCATCTCAGTTGGCCCTTCCTGAACACTTGCCAAATCTGAGCATGTTGGACAAGTCTGCGATGGAAGATCTCCAAGAACTTCTGAAAGAAGTGCGGATATACAGAGACAGGTATACTGCTTTATCATAACAAACAACATAAATAATGGTATTTACTTTGAAATGTTTTTTTTAACTTGTTGTCATATCATCCTCCCTAGAAAAACTTCAGAAGAAGAGCATGGCTATCATTCGCAAAGTCGTATGCAGAGAAAACGACTCGAACATATCGAGGGTATTTTGGAAAAACTGAGCAGACATTCCGCCACCAAATTTGACCCGAAAGAGATGTTATCCTGTGGTTACTTAAGATTATCCAAACATAATATTGCAGCTCTCGAAGATATGGTCAGGGAGGCAGGTCAAAATCCGGGGATCCACGCGCATTCTGACGTCACTGATTACGATATTTGGGCCGATATCAAACGAGAAAAAGAGGAGGAGGAAGCTGCCGCTGCTTCAGATGTCAACCGCTCGTCTCCCACTAAGAAAATCAAAAGTTGATTTTAACTTGATTTTATTTTTAAATGGATTATGCATACTTAAAATCTTCAAAGGTGAAATGTAGCTTTATATTGATAGAATTCAAAACTTCCATGCAACGGCTGTTTTATAAGTGGACACTTATTATCAAAGGCTACCTAGTAATAATATTAAGAAGCTCGTGTATTGATCAAATAAACTTTTAATTTTGGCAACTTTCATACAGGTTCTTGATGTTCCAAAATGTCGTCAAATAAATTAATTCCTCACCAATATCTTTATGCGTGATCATTTAATTTTTTTATGCTCCCGCCATAAAATGGCCGGGCATATAGTGTTATACTGTTCAGTCTTCATTGACTTTCCGTTCATTATCTCGGCAACAATTGCACACATTCAACTCAAATTTGACATATGGATACGTCATAGGAATACGCAGGTCAAGTTCGATTTGTCATGGATTTGTCATTTTTAACATAGTGATCTCTATTGAACTAAGAAAATGAAAAGTAAGAAATTTTCATTTTCCGCTCTCTAACTTTTATAGGGATACATATACATGTATGTATAAGGTTGAAATTGTAAATGCAGGTACATGTATTTTACCAGAAAATATATAATTTCCTTGCTGCCAACACAGCTTCTTTTAACTCATATGTGCCAAAATATTGGGTAAGCTTTTAGGTAAATCAAAGAATTTCCCACGTCGGTCTGTCTGATTTCCGTCGTCTGCTGCGTGCCGTCTGTAAACTTTTCACATTTTCCGGCAACATTTCCTCGAGAACCACTGGGCCAATTTCAAGAAACTTGTCATCATTGGCTGTATGGGATTCAAATTTTTAAGAGCGGGCTACTCTTTCCAGGGAAGATAATTATGAAATAGAGAAATATGATGAAGTAATTTAAAAATATCCTTCTGGAAAAACCACTGAACCAGAAAAGACAAAGTTTGTGTTAAAACTTTGTCATATGGTATATTTTAAATTTACTGCCATTCGATAAATCTAAAATTACAATATGTCAGCTTTATTAGTGAGTGTAGAATAGATTCAGTTGCCCAAATCATGATCCCCGGGTGAAAAGAAGAAGGGATGGGGTTCAGATTTTAATAGAAAAATATAAGAGGAAAGTCTTTAAAAAGAAGAACCAATGTTAATTATGCATGTATACAGTATTTACTGTAAATTTACTGCCATTCGATAAATTTAAAATTACTTAAATTGCTTTATTAGTGAGTGTACATTCACTTTTGCTCAAATAATGGCTTCTGGGTGAAGGGGGAATGGACGGGGGTTCAGAATTTAACAGAAAAATATAAAGGGAAAGTCTTTAAAAAGAACAGTAAAACCAATGTTAATTATATATATATATATATATATATATATATATATATATATATATATATATATATATATATATATAAAATATAATATAATATATTATTAATTAAGCATTACCACGTAGATTAGAAATTAAACAATAGCCTAGCTAAATCATACTGATATGCAAACATTCCAAAGTTGTATGTTCTGTGGAGTTGATTTTGTTCGAAAAATGAACGTGGATTAGGATAGGCTAAAAAAGACACCCCAAGGATTTTTATATAATATATATGTACATTGTACAATAAAAACATTTAGAAATCTTTTTCACATTTACAGCAATAACGTCCTAGTCATATTGATTTTTAGCTGTTGTAAAGTGGACTTAAGTTTGATTAAGTCATGATCCCTTGGGGGCTCGGATGGGGACATAATATTGGTCAACATTTTACATGGGAATGAAAATAGACAAAAAATATTTTAAGGAGTAGCAGGATCAAGGCAACTCAGGTAAGCATACTGTCCCATGGACTTACCCTCTGCTTTGTTAGTCTATATCAGACAAGAAATTATTTTTTCGATATTTTTTATAACATTTGCAATTAATACTTGAAGTACAATGTACCATTTCCCCTTTTAGGTCACCTGAGTCACTCAGGTGACCTATTGCTATCCGTTTTTGTCCGTCGGCGTGCGTCGTGCGATGTGCGTTAACATTTGAACATTTTTAGCTTCTTCTCTGAAACCGCTCAACCAATTTCAACTAAATTTGGCATATAGCATCTATTGGTGAAGGGGAACAAAAATTGTGAATTTCATGGTCCCTGCCCCCCTGGGGCCTGAGGGGTGGGGCTAAAACCACCAAAATTAATGCAATCTTTAAAAATCTTCTACTTTACTCCTGGACATCAAGCAGTCAAACTGTTGGCATCATTGTAATAAGCATTGAGTCCTCTACCAAAATTGTGAAATTCATGGCCCCAGGGTCAGGGGTTCTGGTGCTAGGGCGGGGCTATATAGATCACATAGTGAAAGTGCATTATTTCTTTGAAAATCTTCTTCTCTGCTCCTGGGTATTAAATAAACTAACTAAGTATATAGTTATGATGAGTAAGAGTGACTCTTCCAAAATTGTGAAATTCATGGCCCCAGGGTCAGGGGTTCTGGTGTTAGGGCGGGGCTCTATTGATTATATAGTGAAAATGCATTAGTTCTTTGGAAATCTTCTTCTCTGCTCCTGGGTATTAAATAAACTAACTAAGTATATAGTTATAATGAGTAAGAGTGCCTCTTCCAAAATTGTGAAATTCATGGCCCCAGGGTCAGGGGTTCTGGTGTTAGGGCGGGACTCTATTGATTATATAGTGAAAATGCATTAGTTCTTTGGAAATCTTCTTCTCTGCTCCTGGGTATTAAATAAACTAACTAAGTATATAGTTATAATGAGTAAGTGTGCCTCTTCCAAAATTGTGAAATTCATGGCCCCAGGGGCAGGGGTTCTGGTGTTAGGGCGGGGCTCTATTGATTATATAGTGAAAATGCATTAATTCATTGAAAATCTTCTTCTCTGCTCCTGGATATTAAATAAACTAACTAAGTACATAGTTAGGATGAGCAAGAGTGCCTCTTCCAAAATTGTGAATTTCATGGCCCCTGGGTCAGGGGTTCTGGTGTTAGGGTGGGGCTCTATTGATTATATAGTGAAAATGCATTAATTCTTTGAAAATCTTCTACTCTACTCCTGAGTATTATTGAAACACATTAAATACATAGTTATGATAATCAAGGATGCCTCTTTCAAAATTGTGAAATTCGTGGCCCCTGGATCAGGGGTTCTGGTGTTAGGGCGGGGCTCTATTGATTATAAAGTGAAATTTTTTTAATTCTTTAAAAATCTTTTTCTCTGCACCTGGGTATTATTTAAACAAACTAAGTACATTGTTATGATAAGCAAGGATGCCTCTTCCAAAATTGTGAAATTCATGGCCCCGGGGACAGGAGTTCTGGTGCTAGGGCGAGGCTATATAGATCCTATAGTGAAGGTGAATTATTTCTTTGAAAATCTTCTTCTCTACCCCTGGTTATTGCTTAAACAGACTAAAGTACATTGTTATGATACACAAGGATGCCTCTTCCAAAATTGTGAATTTTATGACCCCAGGTTTAAGGGTTCTGGTGAAGGGGGGGGGGGGGGGGGGCTTCTATTGATTATAAAGTGAAAAAGCAAAATTTCCTTGAAAATATTCTTTTCTTCTTCTTGTTAAAAAAGCAAAGAAGCTAAGTGTATAGTTATGATGAGCAAGTGTGCTTCTTCCAGAGTAGTGAATTTCATGACCCCTGGGTCAGATGTGTTGGTGTGAGGGTGGGGCTCTTGATAATTTAGTGAAAATGCATTAATTCTATTAAATAATCCTGTTTGCTCCTTAGTGTTAAGCAGATAAAAAAGTGATGATGAGCAAACATATGGTCCCAGGGTCAGAAGCTCTGATGTTTTGGGGGTGGGGGGTTGGGGCTCTATTGATAATATGGTGAATCTGTAGTAAAAATGCATTATTTATTTAAAAATCTTCTCCGCACCTGGGCATATCTGAGGCAAACAGAGCAAAAGTTTTTATAAGGAAGGGAATTTTTACCAGAATTTTGAACATCTGGACCATTTGGTCAAGTGTTCTGGTCCTGGCCAGGGCTCTATTAGTTTGTATTCTACTGAGAGGAGTTATTCCCCTTTGCCATTTACTTTTGATAATTTATCACTGTAAATAATGTACTTGAAAGGTAAATAGAACAAGAGAATTATGCAAAAACTTTTATTGTATAATACAAAAAGTACTTTCATAGTTTTAATGATCAGATAGACTTGTAAGTAGTAGATAAATAAAAATGAGACAAAAATATCTTGTCTTATTAAATATTCATCAAAGACCAAGAGATGCCAATGTAAAAGATTTCAACAAAGGATTAAAATAGTACAGAAGCATTGATAATTTGTTAATATACTGTATGGTGATAGTGATAAATGGGGAACAGATTAGAACCTAATTTATGAACTGTTAATGAATATTAAAACCAATTATTTTGTTGATCATGATCACCCTATTTTTCTTGCTTTTGGGCAACAAAGCTTCACCTTTCAGTTCATTTTATACTCTATGCATCCTTGAAATTGTTGTATCATACTCAGGTGACCGTTAAGGCCCTTGGGCCTCTTGTTTGTAAAATAGAAATTGTCTATCTGTAAACAATTTTCATAAACGGATTAATATTGATAACGGGCTATCCTAACCACCTAAGAACAAAATGGGCATTGGAATCTGAGACTGTTTTGCTGCACAACAATGTTTCATACTCGCTGCAGTTTTGTTCTATTTTAGTGAAGTATTCTTGCATATCAAAGCCATCTTAATTCCTTCAAAGGAATCCATAAACTATATAAAATTGCGCATAAGTCGCTGCAATAAATCCAGACCGATAAAGTTTCAGTCCTGACAGAGCTATTGCAATACAAGTTGTGTCAAAGGTGTATGATTTAAAGTTCATATAATGAATAATTCCAGGCATGACCATGAACGTAAGCTGGTACCTAATAAAATGCACATAAAAAAGAAATTGAAATTGTTAGATAACTATTCGTATAATAGTTTTATTTATATTTCATTATTTTTTTTAATTTAGACTCCGCCAATATCTAGCACAGATGAAAGGGAAAGTCAAAGAGCAAACAGGTAATTTTATGTTTTTAAATCAACCTCGAAAGTCTAAATAGTAAGATAATTAAGTAACAGATTCAAAAACTATTAAAAACACAAAATATATTGCCCGTTTTGAATTTCCATTTACAGCCGAAGCAGCAGTCACCCTTTGACTCTGAGTGGGCATGAGGTCAAAGTTCAATCGCGCAGTCGTCGTCGTCAGTTACAGAAAGCCGGGACCACTTCTGTGGAC